GATAATTCAAGAGATATGAACACGAAACACTCAGCAAGGTCACTATTAGACAAAACTAAAACGTTCAAATTCATTTTTTCTATTATAATTTGGCATGATGTGTTAACAAAAATTAATATAGTAAGTAAAATGGTCCAGAATCCAAATACAACTTTAAATGAATGCCATAAAGAAATAAAAAATCTTATTATTTATTTCACTGAAAAAAGGTCAGACAAACATTTCGAGAGTTTCATGAATGAGGCTGTAGCAGAAGCAGGAAAAAGTGATGTAGAACAAACATTTCCATTATTAAGACAAAGAAAGACGAAGCTTCAATTTTCGTATGAAGGTACAGATGAAACAGTATTCGATCCAAAACAAAAATTTAAGATCAGTTTTTATTTTCAAATTTTGGACACAACAATTCAATCCCTACAAAGACGCTTTGAGGGAATAGATAAGTGCCACGATTTATTTGGATTTTTGGGTAATTTTCAAAATCTAGATTCTGATGTGATTAAAAGATCATGTATGGATTTGGACTTAGCTCTACAAATTCAACATGAAGGAAACGTATGCAAAGATATTGATGGTCTTGATTTGCATAATGAAATTCTGTCATACAAAGTTCTTAACCCTATCACAGACTCTGGCAAATTTTCGGATTCGCCCATAGATGTTTTAAATTATATAACAAAGAAAAATTTACAATCCTTGTTTCCGAATCTATTTATAGCCTTGAGAATATTCCTGACCCTTCCAATTTCGGTGGCATCCGGCGAAAAGCTATCAGATTTGGCAGTCATTTCAATTGAAAATAAAATTTGTGAAGCCATTGATCACAATGAAATGATTAATGAGCTTGCATCTGTGAAAGCACGACGTGTCATTTTGTAATTTCAATATTTGTTTTATTTTTCACTTGGTATATATGTATTATTTAATAAAGTTTTTTTGCATTGAGAGTATCTCCTTTCCGTTATTGTTTCATGTTATATTCCAGAATGCCTTATTAGTTTGCGAATTGAGTGTTTTCTTTCTTACTGTTAACTTACATAAAAATATTGTTTTAAAATGACCTTTTTTCTTCATTTAATTTTGAAAATAAAACCTTTTTTCAAACATGGTTCGTTTTATTTTTCTTTTTACATTCATATCATATTTTCAATCATATCACAAGAACATGTTATGATATAGGTATCTTAAAAACATAATATGGGGGCGCACAAAAAATCCTGCACGCAGGCGCTCACTACCCTAGGAACGGGCCTGATGAGACCTCCAAATTCTAAAGTATTACGACTTTTCAACTCCAATGGGAGTTGAAACACTCCCAGGGTGTTTCTATGGGAAATTAACATAGGTTAACTGTAAAAATTCCATACTTAATCATTCTTACTTCGTCAGTAAAAAAGATGCTGGGTGCTTCTGCTGGATATCTTCACAAACCGCTTCAATGATATTGCATAATTTTATATTTCAAATATAGAGATGATTCATCGGTTTTGGTTAGGTCCAGGCCTCTAATCCGTGGGATGTGAGGACTGAGACTTGATGTCTTAAACTTTTTTATATAAACCTGAATTGCATAGCCAATTCTACTCATTCGTCTTCCTCAATTTTGTACCCCTATTAGTTCTTTAACATGATTTTTTGAATCTGAATGTTTTTTCCCTTGGACAAAGAAAGAGAGAGGACAGGTAACGCTCATTTAATAAACCTTCGCAAAGTGAGTCCAGTTTCGATGTGACCGCCATGTTTTGGTGTCTATAAGTTGCCCATTACTGATTTTTTTACCACGTCTACTGATTTTTCATTAATCTACTGATTTCAACTTCAAATTACTGATTTACGGAAATATTGTATCGATCCACATAAAAAATATGTAATGATGAAATCCTGTTCAAAAAGTGATCATTATGTCAGTGTTTAATTATAAATTTTGAAAAAATCTATTTATTGATATATGAATTATTCTCAATCTACAGAAGCATTCCCTCTTTTTTCTTGTCTAAGGTTCTTTTTGTTTAAATACATCTTTCTTATGATTAAAGATTTTGCCAAGCAATGTCTTTAGCCCAAAAATTGTTCCTCCTTTATTCCTATGTTAAAACTTTACATACAAACAAATGGCCGAAAGTCATGATGTCGCCGTCTCCCTTTAGTTTATTTTGGCTGATTTAACATGAATTTTTATCCTTTCTTTTCTATCTTTATACTACAGTAAATATATCATGCTCATAGATTATTGAAATCGCGCAATTATAACTGGAAAATATTTTTTTATCGAATAATTTGTTTGGATTGGTGTTTTGATTATATGAAGGCATTGGGTTTACTTGCGTTGAACCTAAGATACGAGATATTTGTAAGAGACGGTAATTTCTCTGATAGGTAATTTATGGTTAATGATTAAATGTTTTATTATAAAAGTTTTGTTTTATTTTTCTTCAGCACTACAAGTTCTGTCACTTATTCCCATTCCAATTCCCATTTATATGAAACGTTGAAGTTTAACTAAATATGTATATACGATCATAAATATACACAAAAAAGGGAGACCAACAAATTTGTGAAAATTGTAGAGGAATAACGTTAGTAAACAAGTACAACATATAAAATATTGACAATAATAAAAAGGAGGTTATCAAGGATTACGAAGAAGACAGTGGGGCAGTACCAATGTGGATTCACGGAAGGAAGATCTACAATAGATGAAATACACACAATAAGACATAATGGAAAGGCAAACGAATATAAATTGGAAATATTATTCATAGACTTCAAACAGGCATTTGATTCAATTAATATTAAAGGATTAATGATAGCACTTCAAAAATTAGCATAAAGATGCAAAGAGGAAAGACAAGGGAATTCAGTATAAATAAAAGGATAAAACAAGGAGATGCCTTATCAACAACGCTATTTAATCTAGCCTTAGAATAATATTTAATCGACAAAAATCAAGATAAAGGTAAGATTAAAGTTATGCCATATTGAAAATTAAACAGAAAAGGTACACAAGTTTCAAAAAATGCAATATATATCTAAAGCAAGCTCCTGATCCAACACAATTAGGGAAGGCCACGGCTTGTTGACGTAATTTTTAAATTTCAGAAGTTACTGAAAAAAAATACGTTTTCCGCAAATCGCCAGGAAATTTTGACATTCCTGTCAAAATTTCTTGAAGAAAAAGTCAGGACTTCCTTACTGTAAGGAAATGATATTTCCGTACAGTTGTTAGTGTTAACCAGCAATTAAATTTATAAGTCAAGTTTGACAATTCAACCTCAATACGTTTCCATAGTAACCCAAGTAATTTCAAAGCACCATTTATTTGGGAATAAAATTATCGCGTTTTTTTTTTTAAATCAATCAATATCTGTCGAATTTTAAACGATTTGCGGAAAAATAGTATGTTTACCTCGTAGGAAAAGCCACATTCCTGGACTCTGTGTTGCTAATAGTAGCAATCTTCACAGTCGTCCAGGAATGTTAAGCTTTTCCTACCCGGTAAACAATGTACTATTCATTGCGTTTTTTTATTTTTTTTACTCCTATGCGTGATGACACCTAGTCCGTAATAAGAAAGCTATGCTTCCAATCAAATTCAACAGAACACAAAATATTCCCCAGTTGATACCAAAATGTAAACGGAAATTGGACTCTTTAGTATTTCGCAAAAACTCATTCAGAATCATAATCAAATCAAAACCTAAACTAAAGAAAAGTAATCTATATAAAATACAGTTAAATCAATCCCCTAGAAACACGATACTGAAATAAAACTTATTATCATTATTCCTTTATGAAGGTACTCGAGAATTAGTATTTTCACAATAAACAATATATTTGAAAACTGGCAACATTGGCAGCAGATGTAATGACGGATGTACTTTGAAACCATCGAGTTAGATTCTAACTCGATGTTTGAAACAGATAATTTAAATTTGTAACAATGAGAAGGAAGTCCAAGGTCAACGCACATTTTATTTGGCACCCTTCCGTGTGGTGGCACTGCTAGTCTCGTTCCTGTTCGTTGTCACTTTATTTTGTCATCAAAGTCCATGAGAAGAAAAAGATGACATATTTTTATTTTTTTATAAATATTGCCAAAAAAGGTATAATTTTAGACGGTTTTTAATTATAGAATGAAACACATTAATTACATGGAATAACAATGGAAACATAAAGAACTGACCAGATAGAATAAGTCATTTTTTGGTATTTTAAGATTATACTGATTTTTTCTTATTGTAACCATATTTTATTATTTTTATTAATACCACAGTAAAGACAACAACTGTGTTATTACTTATACTGTTGTTATTTATACTGTGTTAATACTAAAATTTTTCCTGCTGAGGAGCGCCTAAAAGGAGGACTTCGCAGATCGTGCTGTGACGTCACCAATCAGTTTCTAAACTTACAATTTTAATGTCACCACACACACACGTGATGGAGTATATATAGGTCCAAGGTATAACTTAAGAAATTTTTTTGACGGTCAATTCGTTGGTATTTTAATTGTAGATTTCTTTCTTCAATAATAAAAGAAAATGGGAGTGTTTTGTCTTGAGTGTAATAAGCCAATCAAGTCTTAATCTTTTATTAACAACTGTTTACAATATATTTACTGATCACTGTTGGTTTACTTAATCCAAACCTGTTAAAAACTCTTTATTACACATTTAATATAACATGATTGGTGACGTCACTGCATATTTATATTCATATCTGTCAAGTGTGACGTCACCGTACAAACTGCTAAGTCCTTTTAAATTCACAAGGCGCTCCTGCCTTGTGAATTTACCGCCATGTATATATAGTTAGGCGCCCTGGCACTAGGCAATGCGCCAATCGTTCTTTTACTTTTCAACATGGGACTGTCTATACTAGGTGGGAGTGTGCTGTGGTTTGAAAGTTATGTCAAAATGTGTCAGTCAAAGTTTAAAAAGTCAACACAAAGAAAAGAAAAGAATACAATCACAGAATACTAATCACGATTAGTGTTCTGTGATCTGTGATACAATACAGACAGAGAGAGACACGTGGACGTGGTCTATTGTCAATTAATTTTTGGTAAAAATATCAGTTTTTTGAACGATAAATTCGGAAAAACTATAGCTCAGCGGGGAAAAATGTATAGAGTGTAGTGAGTCAAAAGTAAACCACAATCCACTGTTCAAATTTCAGACTAATCCGACTAAATGGAACTAAAACAAGAAGTTAATGAAAAGTCCTGTAAAACAGAAATAGATAATAATAAAGGGAGTCATACCCTTTTTGATACCTTTAAGATTGAAATTATTGAGAATCCCAAGAGAGAAAGTACTAATGATGCATTGGATTGTTTGATTTTAAAGGAAAACCTTATACACACTGAAATACAGCAAGATGAACATATATTATTTGAGGAAAAACAAAAAATTGAAAAAAGTAAGTAAATAAACATTGATGTACATTTATATGCCATTTTCGTACTCTGTGTTTTTGGCTTATATCTGCAACAAAACAAGTACCATGTAGTAATGACCAATAAAAAAAAGCATGAAAAATTCTTTTCATTTAGAGGCATCCTTACATTGCCTTATTATAGTGCCCTCTCTCCTATTTTTTCAATAATTTTAATATATTATATAAGTAACACATTTAAAAATATATTTCAGCAATAAATATACATACATATATAATGATACACTAAAAGTTCTTGGACAAACAACTACGTCAATAGTATACTTGACCTTTATTTAATACTATTTAAATGTATGGAACCTTAAATTGATTGAAAGTATTACAGTAATAATAAAATTTTATGTACCATGGGTCCAGTTACCTCAATTAACAGGGGTAACTGGAGCAGCCAGAGTAAAATCTCATAAGAGCTGGTAGAAATCATTGTGGACAATCTGGGCCTGATTGCATATCTTTACACTTTTCAAAGAAACCTCAAACAATAATTTAATTTAAGAGAATTTGAAACCAGAACCAATGTAAGGGTAGCATCTCGTATATTAGATAAGGTTTATGAACAAATTATATACAGTTTGAAATTTAATGCCATTAAGTACATTAGAGTTAACTTACATGTAAAGAGTTTGTTAAAACTGAACAAATCAAAACTAATGTCTAAATATATTCCTAAACAAAATTCTTCATGAAACAGAAACTGCAAATTGAAAAATAGGATTAGTAAGGAAGGGTTTATAATCTCATGTAATGTCACACAAATGCTGCAATTCTTTCAGATGAACAAACCCTCTTTAAGAAATAATTTTTGGGTCTTCAATTGTATCAATAATGACATCCCAATCGTATTTTCCAATATCTGCTTTATGTGGTCACTTTAAGACTTCAAAGATTTCTGCATTGATGAAATTTCAACCTGGTCATCTATAAAACTTAAGATTTTTCCTGGAAAAGGTCTAGTTGCTGATAATTTCCACAGGTCTTCTCATCAATATTATTACAGAACATTTAAATTTCTTCTTGCTATCTAAATATCTTTAATTTTCATCTACAATATATTGCAAATCAAAATCATCACTATTTTCTTATATACAATCAAAACTGTTCTCTTTCTTGTGTTTTAAAAAGCTTAGTGTAGGCCTACTTCGTGTAGCCTAAAATGAGTCGTGTGTGGAGGTAACTTCATGATAATAATTTCATTTTTTTGTGCTAACTTAATCAAATCTATGGACACATGGGTAGCATGACCATCATAAATAATTAATAAAACTGGTCTCTTCTTTGTAATATTAGGTTAAAAAACATCTCTAAACCAATTAAAAAACGAAAATAGTTTCTCTTTCTAGGTATGTTGATTCTCATTAATTGAATTATTCATTATGTATTTACCTTTAAATACACAGAGGAGAGGTATCATTTGACCATCAGCAGAACAACACAACAAAACAGATGTATTTTCTTGGCCAGACAAACTGGTATTATGCTTTTTGCACCAACTACCTTTGTTTTACTAGGGTCATGACAAAATGATGTCTCATCAAAATGTAATATCTGGTTTCCCCTTAAGGTTTAGTTTTTCCACAGTTTTTGTTACTATTTCAAAACAATTATAAATGACCCAAAGGTTCACCTGATCGTTGATCGTGGAATACTGTAAAACAATAATGCACCCCATGTTGTCTTGATGCCATTTCTAATATCCTCAATTGCCCTATCAGGGTCTTCCGTAGTATATCAGGAGCCAGCATTTTTCTAGAGTTTTTCTTATATACGTTTGTACCACTTTCTGAAACAAAAACAATTTGATATAACCTAAGCTTTAAAAAATAAAGGATGGAAAAAAATTTTAGGTTCTGAATGGTAACTGGACCAGGCCCTGGTCCAGTTACTCCCGAAAGAGCAAAAGCTCTCGGGGTAAATGGACCATTATTTTTTATGATAAAAAGTCTTGTTTAAAAAATATTCCTGTTCCCCTTATAAGGAAAACTAGTGCATCACTACAATATTTATTTTACTTTTTGTTAAATATTAATACTGGTTTGCTTAATAGATAATTATTTTAGGTTTTCCTTGGGAAGAGGTAAAAGTTGATGCCAGCAACGAACATATGAGAATACATACTGAGAAAAAACCTTTTGCATGTAATATTTGCAATAAAAAATTTACAAAAAATTTACTTTTAAAAACACATATGAGAGAGCATACTGAAGAAAAAGTTTTAGCATGTAAAATTTGTTCCAAAACGTTTACACTCAGGTCCAAATTAAAAGAACATATAATGATACACAAAGGGGAAAAACTGGTTGAATGCGACATTTGCACTAAACAATTTACAAGAAATTATCAATTAAAGATACATAGGAGAGTGCATACTGGAGAAAAACTTTTATCATGTGAAATTTGTTCCAAACCGTTTACTGTCATTGCAGGTTTAAAAGAACATATGAGGATACACAATGGAGAAAAACCGTTTGCGTGCGATATTTGCACTAAAAAATTTTCAACAAAGAATAATTTAAAAGTACACATGAGAGTGCACACTGGAGAAAAACCGTTTGTGTGTGAATTTTGCTCAAAAGTGTTTTCACAAAGGTGCCATTTAAAAACACATATTAAATTACATACTGGGGAAAAACAGTTTGAATGTAAAATTTGTTCTAAACAGTATATAACAATAACTCTTTTAAAAATACATGAAAGAAGTCACAGCAAAGAAATATTTTTTCCATGTAAACTATGCAAGAAACATTTTACACGAAGTTGTGATCTTAAGATGCATTTGTTGGTACATACTGGCGAAAAACCTTTTCTATGTGAAATTTGTAACAAACGGTTTGTAGGAAGTTCGGTCTTAAAAAAACATATGTTAATACACACTGGTGAAAAATCTTTTGTGTGTGAAATTTGTGATAAACAATTTTCAATAAGAGGTAATTTAAAAAAACATATGGGGGTGCATACTGGAGAAAGACCTTTTGTGTGTGAAATTTGTGATAAACAATTTTCAATAAGAGGTAATTTAAAAAAACATATGCGGGTGCATACTGGGGAAAAACCGTTGCGTGTTAAATTTGCACCAAAAGATTCTGGAAAAGTTACAATTTAGAAATACATTATGAAATATCAGTCTTCTTCCTCGCGTGCCATATCAGAATTATCTGACGTTGGCTGTCACCTTTGCTAAGGCTTCTCGATCTTCTGCAATATGGAATCATTGTCTCGCATTTGATATTTGAGTCCATTCACGAATGTTTCTTAACTAAGAAACCCGTTTCCTTCCTACACCTCAACGGCCCTCTATTTTGCCTTTAGGGATCAGTTGTAATATTTTATATCGACTTCCCCTTACTATATGTTCCAGATAAGACATTTTTCTATGTTTAACAGACTTTAGTAGTTCTCTATCTTTGTTGACGCTCCTTAGTACTTCTTCATTAGTTTTCCTTGCTGTTCAAGGTATCTTCAGCATTCGTCTATGAACCCACATTTCCAATGCTTCAATTTTGTTCATGATCGATACTTTTAGCGTCCACACTTCTACACTATTCAAAAATATAGACCAAACATAACACTTAACAATTCTTTGTCTTAGTTCTAAACTGAGATGTTTAGTCAAAGAACCAAGCAAATTCTTGTCTTAGTTCTAAACTCAGATGATTATTGCAAATATATGACTTCATTTTCATAAAAGTAGTTTTAGTCATTGCTATTCTACGTTTTATTTCTATGTCTGGATCTAGTTGGTCCGTTATCACAGTTTCCAAATATGTCATTTTGTGAACTTTCTCCACTTGGACTCCGTTTAATTGAAGCTTTGCATCGGGATGTGGATCACGGCTAGACACTAAAAATTTGGTTTTTGTTAGAGTTTATTTTTATGCCGATTTCCTCTCCTACCTCGTGAATACGATCAAGCAGAATTTGGAGACCTTCAATGTTATCTGACAGAATTACTGTATTGTCTGCATATCTAATCTCATTAAGTAGTTCCCCGTTGATTTTTATTCCATATGGTTGTCTCTAGTGCATTTTTAAATAACTGATCCGAGTAAACATTGAACAATGTTGGCAACAAAATGCAACCTTGTCTGACTCCTCGTTATATGGAGATTTCATCGGTGTAGTTATCTTCAATTTTTACGATAGAAGTTTGATTCCAGTATTTGCATTTAATTAATTTTGTTATTATTGTCAATGAGTACGTTTGTATATTATAATATTGTCGTTTTTTAAATATGTTACTTATTTCTTAGTTATAAGCTTTCTTCCATCCTTTATTTTACTTTTCGTTAAATAAAAATAATTCTTTAGTGTATAATTATTTTAGGTTTTCCTTGGGAAGAGGTAAAAGTTGATGCCAGCAACGAACATATGAGAATACATACTGAGAAAAAACCTTTTGCATGTAAAATTTGTTCCAAAACGTTTACACTCAGGTCCAAATTAAAAGAACATATAATGATACACAAAGGGGAAAAACCGTTTGAATGCGACATTTGCACTAAACAATTTACAAGAAAGTATCATTTAAAGATGCACATGAGAGTACATACTGGAGAAAAACCGTTTGCATGTGAAATTTGCTCAAAAATGTTTTCCCAAAACGCTCATTTAAAAATGCATATGAGAATACATATTAGGGAAAACAAAGATTTGACTTCTGAAATATGCTCCAAAATGTTTCCTGGAAAGTCAAATGTAGAAGAACAAGTGAGAATACTTACTGAGAATAAACCTTTTGCGTGTAATATTTGCACTAAACAATTTACTGGAAATTATCATTTAAATGTACATATGAGAATGCATACTGGCGAAAAACCGTTTGTGTGTGAATTTTGCTCAAAAGTGTTTTCACAAAGGTCCCATTTAAAAACACATATTAAATTACATACTGGGGAAAAACAGTTTGAATGTAAAATTTGTTCTAAACAGTATATAACAATAACTCTTTTAAAAATACATGAAAGAAGTCACAGCAAAGAAATATTTTTTCCATGTAAACTATGCAAGAAACATTTTACACAAAGTTGTGATCTTAAGATGCATTTGTTGGTACATACTGGCGAAAAACCTTTTCTATGTGAAATTTGTAACAAACGGTTTGTAGGAAGTTCGGTCTTAAAAAAACATATGTTAATACACACTGGTGAAAAATCTTTTGTGTGTGAAATTTGTGATAAACAATTTTCAATAAGAGGTAATTTAAAAAAACATATGCGGGTGCATACTGGAGAAAAACCGTTGCGTGTTAAATTTGCACCAAAAGATTCTGGAAAAGTTACAATTTAGAAATACATTATGAAATATCAGTCTTCTTCCTCGCGTGCCATATCAGAATTATCTGACGTTGGCTGTCACCTTTGCTAAGGCTTCTCGATCTTCTGCAATATGGAATCATTGTCTCGCATTTGATATTTGAGTCCATTCACGAATGTTTCTTAACTAAGAAACCCGTTTCCTTCCTACACCTCAACGGCCCTCTATTTTGCCTTTAGGGATCAGTTGTAATATTTTATATCGACTTCCCCTTACTATATGTTCCAGATAAGACATTTTTCTATGTTTAACAGTCTTTAGTAGTTCTCTATCTTTGTTGACGCTCCTTAGTACTTCTTCATTAGTTTTCCTTGCTGTTCAAGGTATCTTCAGCATTCGTCTATGAACCCACATTTCCAATGCTTCATTTTTGTTCATGATCGATACTTTTAGCGTCCACACTTCTACACTATTCAAAAATATAGACCAAACATAACACTTAACAATTCTTTGTCTTAGTTCTAAACTGAGATGTTTAGTCAAAGAACCAAGCAAATTCTTTGTCTTAGTTCTAAACTCAGATGACTATTGCAAATATATGACTTCATTTTCATAAAAGTAGTTTTAGTCATTGCTATTCTACGTTTTATTTCTATGTCTGGATCTAGTTGGTCCGTTATCACAGTTTCCAAATATGTCATTTTGTGAACTCTTTCAACTTGGACTCCGTTTAATTGAAGCTTTGCATCGGGATGTGGATCACGGCTAGACACTAAAAATTTGGTTTTTGTTAGAGTTTATTTTTATGCCGATTTCCTCTCCTACCTCGTGAATACGAGAGAATATTATCTGACAGAATTACTGTATTGTCTGCATATCTAATCTCATTAAGTAGTTCCCTGTTGATTTTTATTCCATATAGTTGTCTCTCTATTGCATTTTTAAATAACTGATCTGAGTAAACATTGAACAATGTTGGCAACAAAATGCAATCTGACTCCTCGTTATATGGAGATTTCATCGGTGTAGTTATCTTCAATTTTTACGATAGCAGTTTGATTCCAATATTTGCATTTAATTAATTTTGTTATTATTGTCAATGACAGAAACTCGTTTTTTAAATATGTTACTTATTTCTTAGTTATAAGCTTTCTTCCATCCTTTATTTTACTTTTCGTTAAATAAAAATAATTCTTTAGTGTATAATTATTTTAGGTTTTCCTTGGGAAGAGGTAAAAGTTGATGCCAGCAACGAACATATGAGAATACATACTGAGAAAAAACCTTTTGCATGTAATATTTGCAATAAAAAATTTGCAAAAAATTTACTTTTAAAAACACATATGAGAGAGCATACTGAAGAAAAAGTTTTAGCATGTAAAATTTGTTCCAAAACGTTTACATTCAGGTCCAGATTAAAAGAACATATAATGATACACAAAGGGGAAAAACCGTTTGAATGCGACATTTGCACTAAACGATTTACAAGAAATTATCAATTAAAGATACATATGAGTGTGCATACTGGAGAAAAACCTTTAGCATGTGAAATTTGTTCCAAATCGTTTACTGTCATTGCAAGTTTAAAAGAACATATGATGGTACACAATGGAGAAAAACCGTTTAAATGCGACATTTGCACTAAACAATTTACAAGAAAGTATCAATTAAAGATGCACATGAGAGTACATACTGGAGAAAAACCGTTTGCATGTGAAATTTGCTCAAAAATGTTTTCCCAAAACGCTCATTTAAAAATGCATATGAGAATACATATTAGGGAAAACAAAGATTTGACTTCTGAAATATGCTCCAAAATGTTTCCTGGAAAGTCAAATTTAGAAGAACAAGTGAGAATACTTACTGAGAATAAACCATTTGCGTGTAATATTTGCACTAAACGATTTACTGGAAATTATCATTTAAATGTACATATGAGAATGCATACTGGCGAAAAACCGTTTGTGTGTGGAATTTGTTCCAAATCGTTTTCAAGCATTTCCAACTTAAAAAAACATATGAGGCTACACAACGGGGAAAAACCGTTTGAATGCGACATTTGCACTAAACAATTTACAAGAAATTATCAATTAAAGATGCACATGAGAGTACATACTGGAGAAAAACCTTTGCATGTGAAATTTGCTCAAAAATGTTTTCACGAAACGCTCATTTAAAAATGCATATGAGAATACATTATTAGGGAAAACAAGTATTTGACTTCTGAAATATGCTCCAGAATGTTTCCTGGAAAGTCAAATTTAGAATAACAAGTGAGAATACTTACTGAGAATAAACCTTTTGCGTGTAATATTTGCACTAAACAATTTACAAGAAATTATCATTTAAATGTACATATGAGAATGCATATGACCATGAAACAATATGTAGTAAAATATCGATCTTCTCAAGTACCAAGTAATACAAAAGGAAATAAGGTCTAAGATTAGAAACGTTAAGGAATAAATCTGTCACCACATTACTGTCTATAATTTTATTTGGTTTTAGCGTATCTCTGGTTTTAAAAGTTACAATGAAATTTTTTATACTGGTCCATATTACAAATATACCATCAATACAATGCTTGATCGATATTTCCCTAATTTTCTTGTTCAGTGTTTTTACATTTCGGTTTATAAAAAAAACGGGTGTGAAGTTATACTTCTATACACGCGTTCGCCGTTACAAATTTATATGTGAGTCAATCTGCATAATCATTACATATATAATGCTATAGGTAAGAGAGAGCAGAAAGAGAAAAAGAATTAGTTATATAGGTATATGGTGCATCGTTTGCTGTATATAAACATTTGACCTGTAATAGGAGTATAGTAATTGAAGGATTCTATCAAAATTTTAATGAAAACCTATATTTTTATTTTCATATATGTATAAAAGGAGTTGAATGCAAAAAATTTTTTCACACATACTCTGCAGTAAAATTCATTGTTTATTTTGTTATTAATATAAAAATTACAATACAATAAATACACTGCAACATAATACAATATAAATTAAAATGCAATATTCATAAGTATTTAAAACTGCCAATATACATAACTTACTTTACGAAGATAAAAATAAAAAACCAACATCTCAGATTATGTTGTAAATTTTCATTTTATTTTAAAATTTAGCATTTTTGCGTATATTACATATATTTAATAAGAATAATGTGAGGATTTTAAATATTTCAAAAATAAAAAGGGAAATTTATATTAGGATTCTAACTCACAAACACCAGCGTATGAACCAAACACGTAAAGGATTTTGCCAATTAGACATACCACTTACGGATTTCAAAACTGACAGTTCTCAGTCAAACAGTAATTATTTTAAAATACAAAAGCCTAAAATAATTATAAATGTTTAATAAATAATACGACACATCACATACATAATAATAAAAATATATTATTTATATAAATATATATATATATATATATATATATATATATATATATATATATATATATATATATATATAAATATATATATAATATTAAATATATATACAAAAGTAACATTTTTATTCTCGAGAGAGGAAGAGAGAGAAAATATATCTTCTGTCTCTCTCTTACTCATTATCTTACATATGTAATGTTTTCACAGATTCACTCCAGTACAAATTTCCAACGCTGACCGTGCGTATAGAAGTATAACTTCAAAAAAATTAACAATACACTTGAATGTAGCAACTCTTCAAATAATTAATGATTAAAATCCGATATTCTAATAGATATAACCTTTCTTCCACTCTTTATTTTACTTTTCGTTCAATAAAAATAATCCTTTAGTATATAATTATTTTAGGTTATCCTTGGGAAGAGGTAGAAGTTGAAGATAGCAACGAATTTAAATATCATGTTAGAAACAACAGTAACTTGAATCAATATTTAACTGCTAATCCAATTCTGACGACTGAAGAAAAAAACAATTTGTCTTCTGAAATATGCTCCAAACTATTTCCCGAAAAGTCAAATTTAAATGAACAAATTAGAATACATGCTGAGAAAAAATGTTTTATATGTAATATTTGCACTAAAAAATTTACAAAAAATTATAATTTAAAGACACATATGAAAGTACACACTGGAGAAAAACCGTTTGCATGTGAAGTCTGCTCAAAAGCGTTTTCACAAAACTCTCATTTAAAAATACATATGAGAATACATATTAGGGAAAATAAGCACTTGACTTCTGAAATATGCTCCAAAATGTTTCCTGCAAAGTCAAATTTAGAAGAACTTATGATAATACATAATGGAAAAAAATCTTTTGCATGTAATATTTGCACTAAAAAATTCACAAGAAATTATGATATAAAGACACATATGAGAGTACATACTGGAGAAAAACCGTTTGCATGTGAAATTTGCTCAAAAATGTTTTCACAAAACGCTCATTTAAAAATGCATATGAGAATACATATTAGGGAAAACAAAGATTTAACTTCTGAAATATACTCCAAAATGTTTCCTGGAAAGTCAAATTTAGAAGAACAAGTGAGAATACTTACTGAAAATAAACCTTTTGCGTGTAATATTTGCACTAAACAATTTACAAGAAATTATCATTTAAATGTACATATGAGAATGCATACTGGCGAAAAACCGTTTGTGTGTGAAATTTGTTCCAAATCGTTTTCAAGCATTTCCAACTTAAAAGAACACATGAGGCTACACAACGGGGAAAAACCGTTTGAATGCGATATTTGTACTAAAAAATTTACAACAAGCAATCATTTAAAGTTACACAGGCGAGTACATACTGGGGAAAAACCGTTTGTGTGTGAAATTTGTTCCAAATCATTTTCAAGCATTTCCAACTTAAAAGATCATATGAGAAAACACAACGGGGAAAAACCGTTTGAATGCGATATTTGTACTAAAAAATTTACAACAAGCAATCATTTAAAGTTACACATGCGAGTACATACTGGGGAAAAACCGTTTGTGTGTGAAATTTGCTCAAAGGTGTTTTCACAAAGCTCCCATTTAAAAATACATATGAGAATACATACTGGAGAAAAACAATTTGCATGTAATATTTGTTCTAAACAGTGTATAACCAAGACTGCTTTAAAAGTACATGAAAGAATGCACTGTAAAGAAAGACTTTTTACATGTAAACTATGCAAGAAAACATTCACACAAAGTTTTCATCTTAAAAAGCATTTGAATGTACATACTGGCGAAAAACCTTTTTTATGTGAAATTTGTAACAAACAGTTTGTAGAAAGATCGTGCTTAAAAACACATATGTTAGTACACACCGGGGAAAAACCTTTTGCATGTGAAATTTGCGAAAAACAATTTTCAATAAAAGGTAATTTAAAAAGACATATGCAGGTGCATACAGGAGAAAAACCTTTTGTGTGTGAAATTTGCTCGAAAGTGTTTTCCCAAAGCTCCCAATTAAAAATACATATGAGTGCACATACCGATGAAAAATCTTTGCATGTGAAATTTGAAGCAAAAGATTCTCGAGAAATTACAATTTAGAAATATTTTATACTAGAAATACTGGCCAAAATTATTTGCCATATAAACTTTCTTCTAAATAGTGTATTACACAGAATGAATTAATAGTAAGTCTCCACAGTATTACACAATAATGTTTCCCCAGATCTACTAAAATTTGATGTCACAATTTCCCTAGACTGGGCTACAGCACCTACTGTCTATCTACTGTTTTCCACACAAAGAACTATATATACTTAGATCCCTCCCGAAGGCCTAAGGAATAACCAAACTGCTCACGTGTTTATATAGGCTAGACACTTATCCAACCTAATGGATGTCTGCATCTACCGAGGTGTTAATATTAACTCAAGATCAATTTTCAGTTGGAAGGTACGAGCTAGAATCCCAAATACTAAGAAGGAGAGAAGCAGGACCGAATTGAACAAACCCTCCTTAAGTTTTAAATCAAACTTTTTGAAATATTAATTCAAATAAAGTCATTTTTCAAGTTTAATTTTAATTTAAATTCATAAACTTTAATAACATCCAAGGCGAGAAGTTTGTCACTATACATTATACTCTTTTGTTCTCTGTGGATACTTCAATAAATTTTTAAAAAGTGTGAGGAATTTTTCAACTCCTACATAAGAGTTTACTCCTTCAAAAAATTTGAGAAAAATCATGGTGATTAGTGGCCTTCCTTATGCATCTTATTTTACTTAATAGTTATAAAAATTAAACTTGAATAGGTTCATATTTTTTATAACACGTGCATTAACCACCCAATTATAAAAGCGAGTCTAGGAACATCCAGTAATATGTTGCCCGCAGAGATTCATCATCACATTATTAATTGATTTACACCTTAGTCAGTTCAAACATTAAAATTTTTGATCGATGGTTTCTTTTGCTACCCTGTAAGTAGACAATATTGTAAAATACCTGTAATATAATAATGGATGTTGAGATTTTTATATCACTATGTTAATAAGAAAATGTTTTACACACAATAATATTCTATTACAGATACTATCAATACAATGTTTGATTGATATTTCCCTAATTTTCTTGTTCATTGTTTTTTGCGTTTCGATTTATAAAAAAATTTGCTTCATTTTGTAGGTCACATAATTATCGAACATTTTGTTGTAATTTGAAATTATTTAATAGAAAAACATTACAGTAAATAGGTATACCTATTTATATATGACAAAATGGAGAAAAATAATATAGACAATCGCGAAAACGTTACAGATTCATTATATTACGATTATCTAAAAATACAAAAGGTTAAAATAAGAATGTATTACCATTGTTTAAGGCTGTTTTCGCAGTTATAGCATACTGCGATTTGAAGTGGGCGTATCACTTACTTTTCTACACTGCTATGTCAGACCCTACGTGACTTCCTAATAGTTTGGATGTTTATTCAGTGGCGCCGGCCCACGGGTTGTTTAAAATAAATGCATTATTCTCCATTCAAATTAGTTTTGTCGGAATACTTTTTTTTAGATTAATTATCGTAGATAATGTTTTAAAAAGAATTAATCACATTTTTAATTTATATGTCTTAGCTAAACATAGTATTAAATAAAAATTTGTGAAACGTGACTGCAAAAAACACCATGGTGTTTATTTATAATAAATTTAAATTTTGTTATATTAATATTAATATATAATTAATATTTTGTTAATATTTGTTAGAGAAAACTGATATTAGCGTAGTAAAAATTAAACAAAAAATATTTTTATTTATCTATAAAAAATTGGTACCTGCGAAACCATCATAATAGTAAATGTATTTATCTGGCAAGTATTTCGAGGCGACGCACTGCGAGGAAAAAGTTCTCTGAATGGAATATACATTATTTTAATATATTTATAGGTTGCAGTTACATAAGAAAAGTATACAATTGATGAATAAAACACAAATCGTGGATAGTTATTTCATCATATCAGTGGCATTTCAGCTCGTCATGAGCCAAAGGCTTCTTCAGAACAATCCTCCATTCGCCCCTGCCTCTGGCAACTTTCTCCATGCTTTAGCTACGATGGATTTTAGATCATCCTCTATGTTATCTTGATACCTAAGTTTTGGTCTTCCTCTGGATCGTCTTCCCACTGGTCCTCTTCGGTCGAAAATTTTTCTGATCGTTTCATCTTCATCTCGCCTAATTACATGTCCTATCCATCAAAGGCGTACTAATTTACTACATTTTACAACGTCAGGTACTACACCTGAAGAAGCATCGTAGTTTATTTTATACGATCTTTTTGACCAAGCACCATCAGCTATAACGGTTATTAACCCATTTCCGTCGGAATCTACTTCACCAATTTCTTTGGCTAAAGCTAATTCCTCCCGTCCAGCCTCTTCTAAGGAATCACAAAGTGTTTGGCCGATGATATCTGCAACTGTTTCCGTATGTTTTGCATACTGCCTGTAGGAAATCACAGGTATATTTAATGCAGCGTGCTGCTGCTGTATGTCTGAATAACCAGAACCATTCAAGTTAGTGAATTGTTACCAGAATCCTATGTTGCTATCTCCTTTTCAATATTCCACATTTGACATTTAAAAGTCAATGTACTTATCAATCCGTCCATTTTTTCTTGGATAATCTCCATATTAGAAAAGTTGCATGAAAATGGAGAATGATTATTCAAACCTTGAATATATATATATATATATATATATATATATATATATATATATATATATATATATATATATTATATATATATATATATTATATATACATAAGTTAAATAAAAGCTTTTAAAAACGGTTGTAATATAAATAATAAATACTAAAGCAGTGCAATTGCTCTCTTTTTCCTTGACATAGGACGTTTACTGGGACTCATTTTTTATCTTGTCTCTTATAACTTACTTATATCACTAACCTAATGTAATACTTAAAAATACGCGTAAACTAAAGAACTTTTAACTTATACCACTAAACTAATAATATATTACTTAACATACACGTAAACTAAATAATTTCAATGTTTTCAAAATAAATAAGAATACTGTAAACTGTAAAAACTAAGCAAGTTGATAAAGAAAATACAAGAATGAAAGAACTAAAATGGATTCTAATTCAAGCGAACTAACTGACCGTACCCATAGAGAAATAAAAATAAGACCGTACCGTACGCTCATGTGATTTGACGTCACTAATGCGATAACGATCAAGCCACAGAATAATAAACAAACAGAAGGGCCACTCTCAGATGCCGCCTTTGAAGTTTTTCAGCACGCGCGCCATGTTTTAGGAGGACACAGACATATGATTTGTGTGGTTATGTAATTGTTTATATTTATGTTTAATTATATTATATTTATGTTATTATATTTAACAATGTTAATATAATTGTATAGTATGTCTATGATTGCCGTAAGTCAAATAAACCTGGTTTTTTTCCATGCACACCACATAAACAACACTGGTTCCCTTTAAAATCCTCGTAAAACATGGCGGAACGTCTGCGCGAAGGAGATGCGCGTACTTAATTTTCCGTGGAGAGTGGGTATTCTGTTTGATTATTATTCTGTGATCAAGCTCAGCGACTGTGATGAGGAACACGTTTCACTATTAGATTTCAGTATTTTTTAGCAATTTTCTTCAAAGTTTGAATACGCTTTTCTCGATTATTACTGGACACAGAAAGGTGAAAAAAGAATCAACGATTACAGAAAAAAAAACTCTTTCAACTGATGGGCGTGAAAAGTTTGGTTATAATAGAACGTTAAACAGTATAATCCAATTTTTCAACAGAAAATTCAAAAAAATAAAAAAAGTAAAACCATCAGTTTAAAGGCAACATAATTTCGTATAACATGTCCACATTTCGAGATATTTCGTCGGTAAATAACAGAGAAAAAATTTTGGTGCACCGATAAAACAGCCTTATAAGAAAACGATTATATATTCTTTTTCATTATTTTTACATACCTTATAGAAAGAGACAGATCGCTTCAAGAAAGAAGAAGAATATGAAACGTCAAATCCATAATCATCAAATCTGATTTTGTTTTTGTAGCTAAGGAAATAAAAACAAAATAAACTTTAATGAAATGGAAGTAGATATAATGGATGAAATAAAACAAGAATTTGATGAAAAGCCCTGTAAAACAGAAATAGATAATAATAGGTTGAGTGATGTCCTTTTTGATACCTTTAAAACTGAATTTATTGAAGAACCGAAAAGAGAAAGTACAAATGATGCATTTGATTATTTGGTTTTAAACGAAAACCTGATAAAGACTGAAATACAGCAAGATGAATATAAATTACTTGAAGAAAAACAAAAAATTGAAACAAGTAAGTAGATGAACATTGTACATTTTATGACATTTTCGTTCCTGTTCTGTATTTTTTGCTAGACTGTCCATCAAATTTGGCCCAACTCATTTTAATTGCGCTAAATTTAGATAACTTACAGTTCCTCATTGTACTGTTCCTACTTTGAAACACTATATTTTTTAATCTATTAAGTTGATTTTATACTACTTTCATGATTTATCATATGACAATATCATACGAGATTTCTGTTATGATTCCTCATTTCTATGATGTTTTTAAAAAATCGTATTTACACTGAATGATACGTTATGACTTATAATATGAGTGACAATGAGGTTTTATTGATTTTGTTTTTGTTTATGGTCTTAGAGATATTAGACACAGTATAGGTAACAACTATTAGATTTTTAAACTATTATAATGGAAAATAAATCTTTGCTTCCTGACTTTTAGTAGTAATACACTGGCAACAACTGTGTACAGCTATTAGTGAGAAGACAAAGATCAGATGCCTTTGGACTCATAGGTGACTCTTACCAAGAAATAGTAGACAGGGTATATCAAATTTAGTGTTGATATTATACCAAATTAAAAATAGTTAATAAACTAAACTAAAATTATGACTAAGAACACTATAAAACGTTAAACTAAGAATAAAATAAACTAAATGAATAATAAAAGCTCAGATTAGACAATAGGCAATTTGTATTTACATAATGCACAATAAACTAACTACCCGCCAGTATTATTAAAGCACTGTCTATGCTCTCTTACTATGCCCCTAAAATATCTTTATAATTTATCTCTTATGACTGGTGAGCTCCCTCCTTTCTGGAAGAACAGTTATATTGTACCCATTTTTATGTATGGTAAAAGGGAAGATATTGAAAAATACTGAGGAATTTGTATACAGTCAGCAATCCCAAAACTTCTCCACAAACTAGTGACTTCTCACTTATCAAAACTAATAAATAATATAATAATACCCCAACAGAATGGCTTTCAAAGGGGGAGGAGCACAGTGTCAAATTTGTTAGTCTACCAAGATGATATATTGGGTGCCTTTGAGAGGAACTACCAGGTGGATAGCATCTATACTGACTCAAAGGCATTCGATAAAGTAAATCATTGTTATTTAATCAGTAAATTAGAAGCCATTGGTATAGCTGGCAAATGGCTTAATTGGTATGATAGTTTTCTTGTGGGTAACACCCACAGCATTAAGATAAATGTTGTGTTGTCTCAATCTGTTGACATCCTCTCTGGAGTACCACATGGGTCACATTGTGGTCCTCTACTTTTTGTCCTCTTTGTTAACGATGTTGAGAAAGTCATTAAGTATTCAAAATTTTTCAACTTTGCTGATGATAAAAAAATTTATAAAGTCATTACTTGTCAGTATGATCAAATTCAGCTACAAGATGATCTCAGCAGATTAGCGATTGGTGCAAACTAAATGAAATAAAATTGAACATTGATATGTGTTGTGTTATTACTTTTCACAGGAAGCAAACAATTTTAAATTACGATTATAGCATTGATAACACTCAGCTGTCTAGGCAGGACAGTGTTAAGGATTTAGGTGTTTATTTTGATTGTAAATTAGCATTTCGTAAGCATCTAGAGGTCACAGTAAACAGTGCATTTAAACAATTAGGGTTTATAACTAGAAATACTTCTCAATTTTATGTTTTGTTTTACCAATTCTTATTAATAGTCTCATTCGCTCCAGACTAGAATATGCAATAGTTGTATGCGGACCTTACTATCAAACATCTATAGACAAGCTTGATCATGTTCAGCATAAATTTGGTAAACACTATCATTACTGTAGTGCTTTTCATGACCTCTCTGTCCCATACAGTTATAGTATGATAGCTGATCACTTGAAAATGGTTTCTATGAATCTGCGAAAAGATTATTTTTGGCTAATATTCCTTTACAAAATTGCTAATAATTTGATAAACGGTCTGAACTTTTAAATCGATTAGGTCTTAACACTCTTCATGGAACTAGGCATACTTCATTATTTCATCTACCATTTCATCAATTTAATTATGAATACTTCTAGCCTTGTACTAATATGGTGAGACTATGTAATAGGTACCAAAGTGATCTGGACTTATTTTTACAGTCCTTAGAACAATTTAAAAATGTGATAAAGAGACTGATATTTGTGTGATATTAGTTATTATTCAAGTTAATTATTAGTTTTAGTTAAACTTTACTAATTATTTTCCAATGTTATGCTTACTTTGTAAAATTTTATATATTATATTTTGTTCCAATGTAAGTATAACTTTCTCATTGTGTTTTAATTTTTTATTTTATATTATAAGTATGTTATATTTTATATTAAAAGTGGTCAATCATCAAAAATGTTGTTTAAAACATGTGAAACATGTCTTCCTTTTGGTCTGTTTATTACTGGTTTCAGGCTTTTTATCTTCCTAATTAGTGCATCTTCTTCTCTTCTTTGTATGTGTCCAAACCATCTCAGTCTTTGTAGATTAATAAATTTTACTATGTAAAACAAAGTCACAGCAGATGCGCACAACTTACTGAATGTCAGGGCTTGGAGACGAGTGGCGCGGGATCGCCTTTGTTGGAGGCAGAAGTTACAGGAGGCCAAGGCTCAATTTGGGCTGTAGCGCCATTGGAAGAAGAAGAAGAAGAAGAAGAAATTTTACTATACCTTCCTCTTCGGTTATATTTCTATTTCTTATTTCATGCTTCATTACTCTTCTATATTCTCCTTGATCGGGCTTTATTGGGCTGTTTATTCTTATAATTTTGCTTTTAATAATTCTTACTTTTTCTTTATCTTTTTTCGTAAGGCACATTACTTCTGCTCCTTATGCTATCACTGGTCTAATTGCTGCTCTATATACTTTTTTTTTGTTTTTTTGCTGTTTTTTTTTTATCTTTAAATAGTGGCTGATATGTAATATGCTGATAAAAGAGAGCTTCCTTACATTAAAATTCAAAATCCCCCTCTTAAACTTCTTATTGATACAATAGCTACTAAATCTTTCCTTAATTGTGATATAGCCAATAAATTCTACAAAAATAATAATAAATATGAACCATTTGTTACATCAATTTTTCAGAATCATTCAGAAGATCATTTTGTAGAAATTACAATTTTTCCCTAATTTAACTCGGATATTAACTTAAAATTTTATCTTTCCAAATTTCACAAGACATTTGTTGGTCTTAATCTTAAGGCTTCTGAAAGCAAATCTCGATATTACCTAAGCTAGTCTTACTACAGAACTTCTTCCTATTAATTAGTTTGTCACAAATAAAGCCCAATTCTATACAGTCCACCAAGAGCCCTAAATAATTACACAAGTTAAATTGTCAGTAAAAGAAACATCAGGTAAAATCGTCATCCCGAGACAAGAAGTTGAAGGTGCCATCCTAAGAGAAACCAACCCATTCTTAAGAACCGATCATTTTAATATAAAAGAAGAATTTCACCTAAGACGACAGTGTAGGAAGTTTGCATCATGCATATTTCATCATTCAGACAGTCCGTTAACATTTACTAACCAAATAAAACACCATATACGAACCAGAGATGAAGTTCTTGTTTACACCAAGTCAAATCGGTATCCACACATCTATAAGGATCATCGATCATGCAATCATCAGACCGAGTCAATCGCCCTGGTCATCCCCAATGCGGGTCATTTGAAAGATACCAGATGCCCCAGGAAAAATTAAGTGGCAAATAGTTGTCGATTACAGGAAGGTGAACGAGAAAACTGGATTGATGATGCAATGATGAACACATTCTGGACAAACTAGGAAGCTGCCAATACTTTTCCACCCAGATGTAGCCAGCGGATTCCATCAAATTGAAATGGAGAGAAGAAGATATCTATAAGACTGCATTTAACGTTGAAAATATTAATGAATACCTGAGAATGCCATTCGGACTGAAAAATGCACCCTCAACATTCCAGAGAGTAGTGGAGAATGTATTAAAAATACTTACAGGAGAAATATATCTAGTCTACATGGACGAAATTATCGTCAAACCTTTTCTAGAACACATGGTAAATCTTAAGAAGATTTTTGAGAAATTAAGAGAAACAAGATTTAAAATACAAGTTGACAAATGGGAATTCCTTAAGAAAAACTAATGCTTATACTAATATAAAAATTACCACTAATAGGTTATGCAACCAACACTATTGTTTATAAATACCTTATTCCATTAAGCGGTGCAGGGCATATAAACAACGATAAATTTAACAGATAATTGTTAAAGATGTTCCAAATGAGTTTACTCGTTCCGATAAGTAACAGTATAATTATGACACTTTATTATTTTTTTTTTCTTTTCTCAAATATTCGTGTTTATTGCATAGTAAATAAATTAATGTTATCACTGAATACAAAGTAAGTGAAAAAATACTCCGATTTATAAAATTAATGAATATTGCATGCATAAATGCAAGTAACAGTTCTTCAAAAATATTTAAAAACTAACCGGAATGTCCATCTTTATTTCGTCTGGCGATGTTATCGGCGGTTCATACCGGTTCGGACACGATTTAATGTTTATATTTTCCTGCACCGCTTAATGAATTTTACTATAAAAACTAAATACGTTTTTTATAGATATATTACTTGTAGATGGAATAGTACAGTATCTACTATTCTGTAAGTTTCAGCATGCCAGATAAAATTCGTTCGCAGCTTAGTTTAACCGTGGCGATAGCGGAGGTGTGAGCCAATGCGTTGTTATAGCGGAGGAGCACTTTTCTTCCAGGATTGTTCTTGTGCCCATATATGTCCTTGCTTTTCTTCCATGGCCGTTCTTATGACCGTATATGTCCTTGTTTTTATTCTATAACCGAAAGTACTTGTCAACTGCTGTTGAATAACTGTATTTTGCAACATCGGTTATGGATGTGTGAGATTTAACCAGTAAGTTAAGATTTTACAACAAATTTTAATTTTAATGAATTTAGACAACCATCTATATTGAAATCTCCACAGATAAC